AGCTGTGTTGGATTTCCACCAGACATATCGTTTGGTGTTGAGGCCAAATAATTCAATTTTACCAAATACCTTCCACTTCTTAATAATAGATTTCACTGTGCTTCTAGGCATTGCTAAAGCCTTTGAAATGTTTTTATCTCCATCTCTTGACTGGTGCCTGTCCGCAACTTTATCCCGGAGATGTCTTGACAGTGCTATAGTGGATTGTTTGCTTCAGTTGCACTACCAAAGACTGAAATACTCCAGGAAAACTCTTTTCATGCTGAGCTAATCAAAATGACCACAGCTGATCACAGTTGAAACTCAAATGGCTTTGTGTGTCATTGAGAAGATGATTAGCTACACCTGATTGAGTCTACGAGTCATTTTTAGGAGGGGGTGATCCTTTTTCTTGGTACTTCACGCATTTCTACACTATTGCCAATGAACAATGGACCTTTTCTTTACACACAAAATTTAGTTTCTTTTGAAATTTTGTTCCATTTTGTTTCGCTCCTTTAGTGTTTAGACCATTTTTGACATTTCACAGGTGAAATCATGTGTTCAGGAGTTTCGTGTGAGGGCAAAAAAAGTTCCCCATGCAGATTTCACTTGTATTTAAGTCGGTAACATGCTAATCAGTAGGAAGCTGCATGGTTTAAAGTGAAGTCTGTGTGATTGGTACTTCACGCATTTCTACACTATTGCCAAAGAACAATGGACCTTTTTTTTACACACAAAATAGTCGGTAACATGCTAACCAGTAGGAAGCTGCATGGTTTAAAGTGAAGTCTGTGTTATTGGTACTTCACGCATTTCTACACTATTGCCAATGAACAATGGACCTTTTCTTTACACACAAAATTTAGTTTCTTTTGAAATTTTGTTCCATTTTGTTTCGCTCCTTTAGTGTTTAGACCATTTTTGCTGATCAGACAATAAAATACCAAATAAAACCCTTCAGACTTACATGAAAAAAATGCAATATATTCAAAACTTCAGAACATCTTAGCAACCACAGAGAAATGCTCTAGCATGTACTTAAAACACTCTAGCACAATGGCGGTGACTTTTGCATGGACAAGCATTATTTATTTCCAAATCTCATTCATTCATTCTTTCTTTGCGTGAACATTTGGGCGGCGTTATGCAAATCTTCCCACATTGTGACGTAGACATGTGGGGGCATGTTTAAACTATGCATTTTAGAAGGGCGTGGACCAGTCTTAACTTTTATAAAGAATATCTCTTTGGGTTTGAGACTTTAGTATTTGCAACTTTAGGGATCTTATCTATTCACGAACAGCTTGTCCAAAGAGAACGGAAAACTTGAAATCACATCATATGACCCCTTTAAAGAAGCCGATGCAGATTGAATTGGTAATGAAGTTATTAATTCTGTTGGAGCAGATGGTGATGGAAGAGGGGAATGGGGAGCTGAAATGCCCCTGTAGCTCCGCACTCAGCCCGCCTGACCCGTTCTGTCTCTCAATTCCCTCCTGCTCATGGAATACTACCAAAAAACAACCCCCTAACAGCTTGTTCTGCCTCAAACTGACTTTTCCTCCAGATCACAACGTTCATATCTTGCTCTGTCTGATTTTAGTATCTCTTTCTCTCGCTCTCTCTTTCTCCTCACATGAAAGCGGATGTTTTGTTTGCTCTGCCGACAAAAACAAAAGGCAGAGTCATTAGCGATAGAGAGTAGTTTGCTTATGTAAATAAACCGCTAGGTGAAAAATCCTTATTTACTTTTCACCCTAATAGTCCACCCACAGATTGCAGTATCACATCACCCAAGAGCTGTTGGTGAATCAAATAATTATTAACAGTAATCTTGCACAGGAGTTTTGCAACATTATAATTATTATTTAAAAACACTTGAATTGATTTCAAGTTCTTTTCCATTCCAAAAAAATCATGTATCAGTATTTTGTCTTAATTTCTAAGAATGTCTAAACCAGCAAGATATTAAGAAGGGCTTTAAATATTAATAATATGATGATCATTTTAAATTAAATATGCATATAAAGTATATTTGTTATTTATTTGCATGTTTTTTCTAATGCAAAGCCATCCAGACATGTTCACACAAGTGTCACACAGAAATCACATTCAAATCAAGCAGCTTTCTGTTGGTCAACGTGATCAACTTGAACCTGTTGCGAAATCTGTGAAGGGAATTCTTTCTTCCTCACGTGAAATTCCTAATCGCATGGATTCCTATTGAAATGACTGGATTTGGCCTGTGAAAATTAGCCAAACAACGGTAAATGTGACCGTACCTTTAGCCAGTTAGGGCTATGCTAACTGAAAATAGGGAAAATACCTAAGTGTCCGAATAGTTCTTGGGGCCACTGTAGCTGTGTGGGCCTGACTGGACGACATTGTCAGCGTTTTTCCCTTCACAAGGTTCAAAGTGAGCCTGACACACCCGCATACGCTCATCTCTTTCTCCCAATTACACACCCTCACATTCATTGTTCTCCATTTAGAGAGCCGGACACGAGTGAATGCGAATCTCAGTCACAATGGAGTGTTCTGACAATTCATGCTAATCGCTAACAGACGGATATTAAAGGAATGCTCTGGGTTTAATATGAGTTAAGCTCAGTCGACAGCATTTATGTCGTAATATCAATTTTCTCATTTGTAATTTCAACTTATATGTAATTTTTTTTTTTTTTTTAAGAAAAATTGTTGTGAGGAAAAATGTAACGGAACTGGCAGGGCAGTAAACATTAAAATATTCACTGTTTATAGCCACAATACAAATATATTATTAAATTTGCTTAAAGCTGCAGTCCGTAACTTTTTTGTGTTCAAAATTAACAAAATGTATATAACAAGCGAGTACACCATGAATCCATTTTCCAAACCGTGTGTTTGGCTTATCCTGAATCACTACGGTACACCTATAATAAATGTTTATATTCTGACTATTTTAGACTGGTTTGGGTAGGTACCGCTGCGGAGTAGCCCAGTACCTGCGTGATTCGTCATAGACATAAACAGAGAGAAGTAGCTCCGGCTACAATGTTCTTCCGCAAGAAGCATGCATTTCTGTTTATTAACCGCTAGAGCGCCAAAAGTTACGGACTGCAGCTTTAATTATTTTGTGCAAATACATTAGCGAAATTTCAGCCAAATGTTGCTGGCAAAAAGGTCCACTGTTTATTCTCTGTTTGTCAATGTGGCAAATGCATGACCAACTTGAACCCGTTGCGAAATCTGTGTGGGGAAATATTTCGCTCTCATGTAAAATTCCCAAATGCATGGATTCCTATTGAAATGACTAGCGAAAATTAGCCAAACAGCAGAAAATGTAACAGCCCCATTATTTAGTTAGGGCTATGCTAAGCAATGCTAAACTGTTTAAACTGCTTTCTAACTGAAAATACTGTACAAAATAGCAAAATGTTTGATTTGAGCATTTTTAGCTTTGGCGATATAATGGAATATGTAATTTTAAAGACAGGGATTAAACGGACAGTTCACCCAAAAATTTTTATTCTGTCATCATTTACTATGTAGCCATTGACTTCCATAGTATTTATTTATTTATTTTGAACCATACTATGGAAGTCAATGGCTACCGTCAAGTCTTTACCGACATTTTATTTTTTATTTATTTATTTTGTGTGTGTGTGTGTGTGTGTGTACAGGTATACAGTGGGTACGGAAAGTATTCAGTGAGTGAGGGGTATGTTTAGGTGTAGAGTTGGTGTAGGGCAATAGAAAATACAGTTTGTACAGTATAAAAACCATTACGCCTATAGAGAGTCCCCGTAAACCACAAATACAAGTATGTGTGTGTGTGTGTGTGTGTGTGTGTGTGTGTGTTCAGCAGAAGAAACAAACTCATACAAGTTTACAGTATCCTGAGGGTGAATAAATAATGACAGAATTTTCATTTTTGGTTGATCCCTTTAAGACATATTCATATTGTAAGTACTAACAAGTAAACCATAAAGCAATTTCTGTTATTTCTAATCAGAGACCAGATACAATATGCATTAAAAAGTTGCCAAAAATATTAATGTAATATTTTGGCCTTTAAACCCTCTGTACGATTGATTGATTGATTGATTGATTGATTGATTGATTGATTGATTGATTGATTGCAGAACAAAAAAAATATTATATTTTCTGTGGTAATCAGTTATATTTGACAAATGCTGTTGATGGAGCCTAACCCTCTTACATCACATTTGAGGTTGGAAATGCATTGTGTGTGATGGAGGTATGAGACACTGGAGGGAAATACCTCAGCATCCAGCCACTTTAAAGCAGCATGACTCTCAGCAGAGAACACACTTCTACAGACAGAGAAACTATTGTAATGCTCTCGAGCAGCTGTGCGTGTTTGTCTTTCGAGTGCCTGATGGGACCCTCGGCTCAGCCTGTACTGCATGTCCTTTGACTGCTGATTGGATTATATTTCTTTCCCTCAGAGGACTGCGCTTTTCTGGAAGTCAGCGTGTCAAGCGCAAGTGTTTTCTCCTCTCCCCGTGTATTTATGTGCGCATCCGTGCTTAGCTGAAGAAGCTGTTGAGCTCTGTAAGTGACTCCTGGCCTCTTTAGGGTCACTAAGACAGCAAAACAGTAGGAGTTTGTTATGCCAAGGCAGAGCAGATACTGTTTTATTATTGTTTAACAGAAAACAGTTTAAGGTCTCAGGAGCCGGCAGTGTATTATTGTCTTGAGAGACCTGTGCGTCCTATTGCGTGAGTGGTTTTAGATTTTAAAGTCAATATGGGATGGCATTCCCAAACTATTTTACTTATGTAATCTGACATATTTTAGGTGATGGAAAAATCTGCATATAATTATCACATATCTTTAAGCATGTCATGTGTTTTGGAGTTTTGTTTCAAGTTTAAGTTTCATGTCTATTATTTTGTAATTTTGCTTCATGTCATGGTCTCTGTTAGTCATGTGTTTTCCTTGTTCTTCTTGTGTTCCTGCCATGTGTTTCTTTAGTTTGTGTGTCATGCTTTCATTGGTTCATTGTCTTGTCATGTGGTCTTCAGTTCTGCTTTCTGATTGGTTCATATTCCTCAGCTCCACACTGTCAATGGTTGTTCTTGACATGTGTACCCCTTTGTTTGATATATATAACCCTCTTGTTTCTCTGTACTTTGTGTATCTTTTTTGCCTGTAACTACTGTTAGTAAGTTGTGTCCATGTCTATGTTCTTGCTATGCCTAGTCAAGCCAAACCAAACCATGTCTGTGTTTATTGTTTATCTGCTCACTTTTGGGATATAATAAAACTGCACTTGGGTTCTCACAACGCTCGCCTTCAGTGTACTCTCTTTACATTATAATTCATAAATACTTAAGTTTTTTGAAAGTTGCACCACATGACATTTTACAAATTTAATTAAACTTGCCTTTATGAGACATTTTGACCTCAAAACACAGAAATGAGAGTCTTCAGGGGTCTCTCTGTGATATAATTTCCTGTTTATCCTGCATGTCGGTTGCACCACATTACTTTTTGGGCACACCACAACTTCAATTTGGCAGACAAAGTTTTCAAATGTTTATCATTTTTAACTATTAATCATTTTCAAATTGCTTCAATTGCTTTTTGTAAGAAATAATAATATAAGACTAGACAAATAATTGAAGTTTTCTTTTTTTAAATTTCTGTATTTAATGAGACAGTTGTACCCATAGATATGTAAACGTAGATGCCTTATTAGCTACTGTTTCTATGGTCCGCTATACGTAAGCCGTTCAATGGTCAACTTGACGTCATTCACCACAATAATCAATGAATGAACAGCCGATGGTTGTAAAAACCGCTGGGATTTAAGTTACAAAAAAAAAAAAAACACAATCCAACACATTCTTACCTGTGAAAGGTTATCCTGAATTTAAATCCAGGCGGTTTTTACAACCATAGGCTGTGCAGGATTGTGGCATCTTCGAATATTCATTGATTATTATGGTGAATGACGTCAAATTGACCGTTACAATATGGCGGACGCGTCTACGTACTTGGAACGGTCGAATGTGGAATCTATTATACATATCTGTGGTTATACCACTGTGACTTTTTTTTTTGATTACAATATTAAATCATGTTCATCATAGAATAAGTGTATATAGATGTATAAGTCAGTGTACTGTACAGTTCAAACTGTTTTTGTACTGTTTTTGATTGTCTTCTGTTCATCAGGGCTGAATTTATTTGATCAAAAATACAGTAAAACAGTAACATTGTGAAAAATATTACAATTTCAAATGACTGTTTTCTATTTTAATATATTTTAAAATGTAATTTATTCCTGTGATGCAAAGCTGAATTTTCAGCATCATTACTCCAGTCTTCAGTGTCACATGATCCTTCAGAAATCAGTATAATATGCTGATTTGATGCTGAAGAAACATTTATTATGATGATTATTAACTGAAAATGACAGTGCTGCCGAATAAACCGTAAAATGTGTGGAAGTGTTTTGTTTTCAAGATTTTTTTATGAACAGAAACATTATAAATGTCCTTGCTGTCATTGTAATCAATTTGATGCACCTTTGCTGTTGTTTTTTAGCCCTAAAAAAATTACGCACCCCTCCCCCCCACACACACTTTTAAATGGTAATGTATGTATAAATTGCATTTTTGTATTTTTGATTAATAGATCCGAACAAAAAAGTGAGCGTCATGTCATCAAATATATAAATAAATATATATAATTTATTTATTTTTTTTTTGCTATCAATTTTTCTTTAGGTGAATGTATTAAAGGGGTTAGGGGATATAGTAGTCAGGTTTCTGTGAGTCCCCCGAAATTAAAGGTTAAAGCAATGACTAGATGGCTATAGGTTAATATTTTGATGAAATATTGATGAAAGACATTTTTTTCAGTGGAATAACACATGCACTGTTCAGTCGTTCACAATAAGGCCAAGAACGTGTATTAAGGAAGTAAATAGGGTCAATTTACTTTTTCCACTCCATTTGACCTGTTATTGTGTCCAAGGAGACCGGGTGTACCATATAATTTCCCACAATCCAGTTCAGTTTGACAGACACATCTCCTCGGTTAGTTTTCACTCATGACTGTACTTACTCTGTAAGGAGCGTTTCAGACTGAAAAAAACAACAACAACAACTGTTATTTAGAATTACTCCTCTATTGTACACTTAGACAACTGTTCTTTTATTTATTTTTTTCCTGTCACACTTTTTCTCTCTTTCCCATGTCTGTGAGCTTCACACCTCGCCCGGGGAAACATCTGTGTGGGGCGTGAGACGGCTGGGGGTGCAGATGGGGCGCAGGTACCTGAGTGCATCTCATCCCCGTTAATGATGAGTGTTGCTGCCCTTTCTCTCAGATACACGAGACATCGTTCGCCGCCACTGGTCCGCTCACTTCCCCACGTACGCCCAGCTCGACAGATTTACCGACATATGCAGGGCTTGTTGTTTTCATTGAAAAAAAATCCAGCGAAGTAGTTCATTTGCAGACGTGCGCCGCTAACCTTACAAAGCCACCTGTATCTTTCCGAAAGACGGTGGGCGCCGCACAGGAGCGCAGCGAAGTCTGTTTTTTTGTCTAATGTGATTTTAATTCCATATTTATCGGATATGCAGATGTGTGAGGTCATGATGTGTTTGCGAGGTTTTTCCCGAGCTGTGAAAATGAAATTCTCGTCAACATGTCGACATCCATCACTCTCTCAGCAACTGCTCGGTTGTGTCTTAATTAGGATTTATCAGGCGCAGTGAATCCCAGTGAGCTCTTGGTGCATTGCATCACATTTAGACCCTGTCAGAGGTTCCTGAATGATTAATTTGACAACTTTTTCAATGCATCCAGATTTACTTCTTCATTTACAGATATACTATCAATCATATCTGGTTACATTTCCAGAAGGTTTCATTATCTTTGATTTTTTTTTAATCATTTAACATGTATGTTGGTGTAGATATGCTCCACACATCTCACATTCTCAATTAAGCTGATCAGAAAGTGTGCAGATAAAGGCATCTTGTAGATTATGAACTGGTTAACAAGAACTCACATTTTTAGTATGCATAATTTGTATAAAATAAAATAAAAAAATAAAGTCTGTTTTATTTCAGAGCTCAGTTTTAACCTTTTTTTTTTTTACATACATTACAATATATCACAAAATAAAATCACAGACAGACAGACAGACAGACAGATAGATAGATGCAGACAGACAGACAGACAGACAGATAGATAGATAGATAGATAGATAGATAGATAGATACAGACAGACCGATAGACAGATAGATAGATAGATAGATAGATAGATAGATAGATAGAGGCAGACAGACAGACAGACAGACAGATACAGACAGACAGATAGATAGATAGATAGATAGATAGATAGATAGATAGATAGATCTTTATTTCTGACCTAAAACAGAAAGAAAAATAAATAATACAACTATTTCAGAGCTCAAACTTTTTACTTTTTTTTCTTTCTCATGTAAATTACAACATATTACAAAAACAAAATAAAAGTCGATCTTTAATTCAGTACTCAAACTTTTTAACCTTTTATCAGTTTAATTTCTTACATAAATTACAATATATCACAAAAAATGAAATAAATGAGTAAATAAATAAAACTAAATATTTAATTCAGAAACTTTTAACCTTTTTTTTTTACATAACTTAACAATGTATCACAATAAAATGAACTGAATAAATATAAACTAATTCAGAGCTCAAACAGTTTGCAGTTTGTTTTATATAGTGAGGCTAGCATTGGATTGTTGGCTCCCCCATAGGTTTGCACTCAGATGTCTCTATTTATGCGGCGTCTCTATTGGATAGTGCAAGCAGAGCTGACAATAGGTCTTTAACATGTGAGGCCATCTGGAGCTGCTGCTGGAGGGGGTCAGTCAGAATCAGAAAGCTGCTGAATGGAGGTCAGTAACCTGCCACTCCTTCCATATGCACACCTACTCACTCACACGCACCGAGGTCAAGCGTGCACAGGCCTTCACCAGCAATTACAGCATCCCTGTGTCTGTCAGTCGGCGCTTCATTGGCTATATGAAGGTTTTAAATTCATACTCAAGAGACACAATTAAAATATATAACGTTTATTATATTGCATAACAAAATATCATAGTTAATTTTTAAAGAAAGAAGTTTTCGCACAGAAGTTTGAATGATAATGTATATATTGTTCAATATTAAGACAAAGTTTTGACTGTCTGGTTGTCAAACATTAGCGGCTCATGTTCATAATTTATGTGATGAAAAGTATGTAAGTAATATGTGTGACTAATAAGTTTTACTTATTTTTGCAGTTATGAATATAATTACCGTACATCTATGTGAATTTATAATGTATATTATTTAAAAATAAATATTAATATATATTTGAATTATTATAGTATGACATACCAGTATCCTTGACTGTTTAATATAAAAATGAATGATAATTAATTCAATGTTAATTATTTAAATAATATATTTTCTCAACCATAGTTATGATAATTGAAGCATAATGGCATCTTGTGCACTTTATACATCAACAACGGCATAGAAACCGCATAACCACATTTATTTTATTAGTTTATAATTACATTATATAAGTAATTCTGTCAGAATTCTAGTTCGTCAATTAGTTTTCATTCTTTTTCTCATTTCCATTCAGTTGTAGTTCTTCCAGTATATTTGGTCTCTTTTTAAGTTTAATTGATTTTATCTGAAGACTTCTTGAGGCCATTTCTTCTGCATGATTCTCTGCGTATAAACGAGAGGACACTGTTTGCGGCCGTGTATTCATGTGTGTGGAAGTGGAAGGCATTTGGGGAGGCTGTGATCTTGTCATTGTTAGCACACGTTGCTTGCCCTTGTTGTCATGTGGGCTGCTTTGGTTTCTATGATATCGCTTGCTGACTCTCTGTTTGTGTCTTATGTAACAATCCTCCTCTCCGTCTTCCATCCACGCTCACCATTCACTCGCCTCGCTTACCCTTCCAACCTTCTGTTATTGCTATAACAACCACTTTCCTCTCAACCAAAAGCCTCTGTTGCGACTGTGTGCTAACCGAGGTGCCACACAGGAAAGGACTTTTGGTAGCACGGCTCCCCTCTCACGAGTCAGACTCACAGAGATGCAGATCATCCAGCCTGATCTCTTCTCACTCAGACTTACAGCATGTGTGCTAAAAGATTAGAATGCAAATATGGTATGGATACAGAAATCAGCGTTATCTTGCTCAGTGGGATTTTTAAGTCGGTAGGCTCTCTAAACTGCTTTGGTAGATATTGTGTTTTGAATATAGCATAATATCATGCTTTTTCTCATGATTTTATGCATACAGTGCAGCTGCATTTATATTTTAGGAAGGGGGTTTCTTGCATTTGGGGTGAAAAGGTTTGATAAGTTTTTTTTTTTTTAGTAGAGCTGGAATATATATACTGGTGCACACAAAACCTGGACTGGAACATTCACATACAAAATGAAATGGATTGACAAAGTAACTACCAATGATTCTAAGAACAAATTTGCACACTTCAATACTTTAAAGCATGCAAGGGCCTAAAAAAAATCAACGTTGGTGTGTATATGAAACAGCATTGGTAACTTTTTTTTTTACTTAATTAATTCTAACTGTGCCTGAGTATGGTTTATGAGATTATCAAGTTGCAAAGACTGTGTTGTAAATTTGTAAACTGATGTGTATATAAATTTGTAAACTGATGTGCGGCCTGTTTCAGAGTGAAGTGAACATTTTCCGAAGTCTGAACATTTGTCAGAACATTTTCCGAAGTTTGTAGTGAGAAGTGTTTATAAATCATCAAAAGAGAAGTTTCCCTGCAGTTTTCCACCAAAATAAAATCTGTTTGAAAGCCAAAAAAAAAACAAAAAAAACATAAATATTATAATTGTATTGTTGTTATAATAATAATAATTATTATTATTATTATTTAAAATTACAATTATGAAATACTATATTATAGATATTTCTTTATTGATCTTTTTGATTTTATTATTTGATTAAATAATAGTAGTAGTAGTAGTAATACAAATTGCAATTAGATGTGCTTTTCCCTATTTGTTCTGCCTGTTTTTAATAAAATATTGCGCATACAGTATCATGGTCAGTAAAAAATGTTTATGGCTGGTAAATATCACCGGCCATTTGCAGGTGTGGCAAAATGTTAGTTTTAGGTCCTGTATACAGCATTAAAAAATAAAATGAATAATGATGTGCATTTGTACAGAGTTCATTATACAGTAGATGAATAATACCTGGCCTGCATCGGCTGAGATTCTTAGGTATGCAGCTGCTGGAAACTTTGCTCCCTCATAATGCCGTGGGACTCAAAGTTTGGTTTTAGCTGACTCGTGCTCATGCGCCGCTATTTGAAAACATTTATATGGCCCTGCATGGTGCTTCCCTGAAAGTGGTGCCCCTGGGAACATGCCTGAATGCCCATATGCTTAATCCACACTTCAGCCCTTGAGCAGAGCTGTAAGATCTCCATCACATTCAGCTCATACTCTGAAAGTACAGCAGTTCAAATGCAGCTATTTTTTGGGTTTTGAATGGAAGGTGCCACAAGCTTGTTCCAGACCAGTTTTACTCCTGACTATAACACGGTTAACAATTTTGCATGAAATAGTTAGCAAATAGCAAATACTTTTCTTGCAGCAAAGATGCATTCAATCGATCAAAAGTGAAAGTAACGGCATTAATGTTACAAAAGATTTATTTTTTCAAATACATGCTGTTCTTATGACTTTCTATTCATCAGTGAATATCAC